GTGTGTGTATATATAACACAAACTGGAATGATACCCCAATAATAGAGTGGAAAATCCAAATAAAATGATTTGTTAATGTGCGAATTTTGGAGAAGTATATTGTTCACAAAATTAATTCAGCAAATTGGAAATGCAAACACTTGAGTTGAGATGCAATTGAGGAATAATCAAACGTTGTTGCTCAAGTAATGAATCTAATACATGACTATTGAATGACGTAGATGATCACAAACAAATTTATATGTGGATGAATCAAATCATATATGTTTGTATTAGAATTTAGAAACGACCCTTTTGAATGCAGAACCATTGTATAGTTAATGAAATAGAAACCAAGCATGTGTTTGTGAGTGTGGTGTATATGTCTGTGTATATAGCTTTTATACGGATAAGTTATATAGTTTTCAAAATTATATACACATACACACACACACCAGTAGATGCTGAAAATTTTCTTGAAGAACAAAACCCCAAATTAAGTAATCATGATACATGTGTGTATCCTGAAATCAGACAATAAAAAACAGATACACTTTGAATTTAAGCAAAGTGACGTAATTTTTAAACAACAAAACTCAAAATTGAGGATACAATGTGTGAATGGATCTATGGTTTAGATTAGTAGACAGGCTTTAAAAATATGTATATATAGTTTGGTGTAAAGCTTTTAAAATATGATGTGTATATACCTTTTACAAAGATTTTCCATGTTACATAATAGACATACCACATTAGCACTTAGATCCCAACTTTTAACAACTTGAATTAAATAAAAAAAATGGCTTTTGTAGAAAAAAATAACCAAACGATTTGCACTCCCCACTTTTCTGTGATGCAAACTTAGATATATATATGCAGTTTTAAAGATGAGATATAAATAGAAGAACGATGGTTTTGTCCAAAAAATGTAACGATTAATATTTTTGCATAATTACGTTAATAATCAGTACAACAATAATCAGATAAGTGTAAGCACAAATAATTGAACAACAAACAAGATAGATGGACCGAAGCAGTGATTTTACAACAGACGAAAACATTTTGGGAATGCAGACAATGTGTGCTTAAAACACTTAATCTTGATGCAGGCGTCAACTGAAACACATAATCGGAAAATGAAATAACGGACCTTAACAACACCCTCTAGGTTTGATCTATTCACTGTTGATAATCGACTAACCTCAATATATTAGACGATCGACGTAGTGTAGACTGCGACTTGAGGGGTTGGGTGTAAATGGAGGAGATGGAAAGGAGATATAGCGTGCGACCGTCTGGCTGAAAGTAGGGTTAGGTTATACCAGATCTTGGGCCTGTGATTTTCTAATTTGAGTGGATCAAATACTTTGGGCCAACAGCTTTAAGTATCCGTTTGACAATACTGAAATTGTCTGAATCGATTAATTATACTGAAATTTATGAAATTCTGCGTGATAACTGGATTATCCAATCTAATGATTTATGAATAAAATAGAATTTTATTAATAAAAAATATGAAAAATAGTTAAAATAATTATTTACAATAACTTCAGCCAATAAAGCACAAAAGTAACTTTAACTTCACCTTTTCTTATTACTACATCATTCAACTCACGAAATCAAAAGTTACATGTTTAGTGCAAAAGTTGTCTGATAAGCCTGGTAAATCAAAAATTGGGTCACCAAATGGGTTCGATCTAAATCGTTTGATTTGACACACTCTAGATGGGTTGAATCTATTAAAACTGATAAAATTCTAGCAGGACTAACCTACTTCTCTCATTTTCTTATTTGTGAAAATATTATATTTAAAATATTTTGTATTAATAAAAAACATGAAAAATAGCTAAAATGATCTTTCAGAGTAACTTCGATCATTTCAATCACAAAAGTTGTATGTTTGATAAAACATTGACTGCTAAGCCTGATAACTTGAAAATATCAATTACCAAACAGACTGTTAACAGCGTTAAACTGGAAAGTAAATGTCGAAGTTAGTAATAAATTACAACTAATGTATTTTAAATCTCATGAACTAATTTAAAATTTGAAGAAATATTGTAAATTGTATAAAGAATAATTTAAAGAAATAGTATATATTGTTTTAACCACAAATTTTTATTTTATATATACCATATTTTATTAATTCTAATATTTTAGTATTCATTATACCTATCACTTCCTTATATTGATTGGTGTTTTACCCAAAAAATGTACCGTGTGTATTCATTTATTTGAATAAAAAATCTCTAATTGAATTTCAATATTATTTAGTGGAATTGAAACATGTGAAAGCAAAATGTACACGTTAGAAAAACAATTAAAGTCTCTCCTACAATGTGCACAATTTGATGGCATTATGGAACTAGACCTAGAGCCTAATCGGTTCAGGCCCTGAATTTGGATCCTCGAGTCTGGGCCCACGACCTAGAATTTGGACCCTATCACTAATCACATCGGAAGAGCTCGCAGGACGACACGAGGCACATAGGAAGGACATTAGCTGCTTGCTGGTAGCCTAGAGTCACCATCACCGACTTGCCGCTGAGCGTCAGACTTGAGGACCTCACCACCAAAGAAACTTGTGTGCACGTGTTAGGGGAAGTCACCAGCCGCTAGTCAATAATAAGAAAATGTTAACTATAGAACATGAATCACTTTACTAGCACACTTATCGTCAAGTGCAAAGCGGCCGAACTAGACCGATAATGGAGAATAGGTAGCCTGGATGAAGGGGGGACTAACAATCCTGTGATGGTTTAATACCATCTCGTGTAGTCCAACAAAACTGATGGTTGTATTATCGGCGACGCAGTGACAACAACTTCCGCTCGCCTCTCCCGTGTACATAGAAATGTATCGAACATGCCTGATCGAGTGATCAATCCTCCGTAGGCTTTCCACACCTACCAGGCTTACGCAACTCCATACATGTGTCAACAGATGCTGGAATGACCTGCTCATAGCCAAAGTAACGCAGTACACGATTTGGAAAAATGATTTTCAACAATGTAAAAACACATATCAATTGAACACATGATCGCCATTTATCATAATTCCCTCGACCTGTCGGGGGCAACTCCTCCGAAATTGGAGGTGTAAATGGCGTCCATGTAATCCGTTATATAAGAAATAAAATACAAGTCATACTACTGTTTATTTGATATCGGATGTTAAATCATGTATGTACGCCACAATTGATCATCAAACATGCAATCAAATGCATCCATGTAGTATCTTAGTCCAGCAGCCGATGATTTCTGAGAAAGATCAACAAATGACCATCCGACAAATCGTGTAGTATATATTCATACAGATCCAAGAAATTCAAATATTAATAACATACAACAAATAGAGATAGTCTTCTAAAACATACCCAAGTCCCAACGGGTCATCTCCCCGTCGATGTGGAGGGTGGTCATGAAGTGAGGTGTCCATCTACTCCATGGTAGCATAGTATAATGGGGCACCCTATTAGAATGTGCTCCCAAGACCAAATTTGTAATAACAATAAAAACCCAACCTTTGTGGTCCTACTATGACAACCTTGACACAGATGCCTGTATAGATAAGTTAGGATTGGAATGTTGGAACGCATCCATGAAATGTGGCAATTCTAAATAGGAGTTATCCCGACCTCCAAATATCTCTACAATAGCCTTTTGTTTGCTCAACCAGGTGCGTCTGTATGAAACCACCCAACCATATTTTTCCTTCATCAATTTGTTAATGGTGTGATTTATTTGTGATGGATAAGTGCAAAGAAGGTCAATTACACCTCGAGCAATGAATTGTGAAGTACTAGCCACATGAGCGCCTAAATCAATATTGCCGCACAACCGACACAGTGAGGCCCAATACATCGCACAACTATGAGCAGCTAAAGGTCCAAATGTTTCTTTGTAACTCGCATTCATCAAGAGCATCTAAGCTCAGCCACCCATATGTGCTTGTCTGATTTTAGAATATGAAAATTCTGTTTGGGTTTGACAGAACACAATCTCACCATATTGATGAGTTGTCGCTTGTCATGAAATTGTTGCCCATCTTGAAATTCACCCTCCAATGTGAACATATTTGTAAATGTACATGTCTTCCACGAATCATCGAATCCCGACCGGAGTTCATAATTTTTGGTAAAATGAGTCGAGGGGGCAGCCGCGCTAACTGTATCACCCTTTTCTTCATTTGATTATATCATTTCGTCCTCTTTCATATGTTCATCTCCACCATCATCATTCTCAAATACGTACTTATCCTCTAAAACCATATTCAAAACAACTTCACTTTGAGAGGTGGCTAGCTACATGAACATCGTGCACAGATGGTTCCAGAAATGATGTTGAGGGAGATATACAAAGGTCTAGCAATATTAAACTTCAACCCATTTCATACATATATAAAAAATTACAAAAATCAACAACAAATAAATTCCTAATTTACGATCATTGGAACTTATCGATCACATATCGATAAGTTGAAGGCGTGGTAGTTCCCCCAACGCCGGCACACTACTTGAAAATTCCCGGCTTTGAATATGAGATAAAATGGAGATTTGATTTACCTTAAGGAAAGAGTGTTGAAGGCGTGGTAGTTCCCCCAACGCCGGCACACTACTTGAAAATTCGCGGTAGAGGATTTGGGGATTCCGTTTCCGTCTGTCTGCTGTGACTGCTGCGCATCCGTCGTTTTTAAAAGGAAAGCCGCCATCTGGTTGGGCGACTTATAAGTCGCCATTCCATTCGATGGCTTATAAGTCGTCGTTCTATCCTGCGGTTTTCGTTAATATGATCAGGCTAACAGTCTTGTCGTAAATACCTTTAACTTGACTTTATTGACGTAAATTTTATTTTTTCCAGCATTATTTCAAAAAATAACTCACATTCTTATGAATAAATAAGTTATTTTATTTTTAGAAAATAAAGTATTTAAAGAAAAAGCCGCATTTAAGCGAAATTACTTTTCCTATTGGTAAATTATCAAACGGCTCCTAGTCCTGCCCTATCCTTCTTACACGTAGATTTTTGTAATATATGCCTCTCTCGATTAGCTCATCATAGGCGTCTTTTGCAGACGGAGTTCGTCAAAGAAAACGTTATACGACGTCGTTCCTGGACGTGCCATCTTCTTCTTTCAATTCGCCGATCCCGTACGCCGATCTCTCATTTCCACCGAAAATAATCTCAGAGAGTTTCCTCATCAGGAATTTGTTGAACTTGCCTGATATACTATCCTCTGCTCTTGTCTTAGTTCTATCAATCAAGTGGGTTAAGGGGGGGTTTTCAGTGTCCGAGGCTCGCCAGGGTTCCAATTCCAGTATCGGAAATTGTTAGTTTTACTCACAGGTGCATGTACATTCCAGAGAGGAAGTGGGTTCTGTGAAGGGATGGTGGTGTAACAATGGCGAGGCTATTTGGTTTGACGAGAGGAGAGCCAGCTGAGCCTCGGGAGATCACCCGAACTATTCCTACTAGCGAGTCTATTGGAGAGAGCGGGTGGCTCATCCGCTTCTTTGATTCCTCGTTCTTCTGCGAGTGGATCGCTGTGAGCTACCTCTACAAGCATGACCATCCAGGTGTTCGAGACTATCTCTGCAACAGGATGTACACGCTCCCACTCTCGGGCATAGAGAGCTACATGTTCCAGATTTGCTACATGATGGTTCATAAGCCGAGTCCCTCTCTGGATAAGTTTGTGATTGATATGTGCACTAAATCTCTTCAGATTGCCCTGAAAGTGCAATGGTTTCTGATTGCTGAGTTGGAGGATATAGATGATAATGAGGGCATCAGTAGGATTCAGGAGAAGTGTCAGATTGCTGCTACTTTAAGGGGGGAGTGGCCGCCCTTAATAAAGCCACACAATGTCACTTCGTCAAGTCCCACTGGAAAGAACCTGATGCTTAATAAATTACTGTTTTCCAAGCAGAGACTGTTATCATTGGCGTCCCCTCCTCCAGCCATACAGAGGTCATTGTCCCTTTCCCCCAGTTCAGGAACGGACCATTCGCAACTTGATGAGAGTGGTGGGAGCAAAATATCTACTCCTGAGGAGAATAAAATACTTAAGAAGCTGATACCAGGGCCAAAAGTACGAGATGCGTTGCTCTTTAGGAAGTCTGCAGAAAAGGAAGATGAAGGCCCAGATAAGGATAGTTTTCTCAAGAGGCTCTTGAGGGATAGTAAAGATGATGACAGCAGGAAAGCATCAGTAGATAAAGATGATGAGGAATCTGAGAAGGACAGTTTCTTTAAGAGGTTGCTAAGGGATAGTCGGGATGAGGATGGTAAGAAATTGACAGGCAAATATGAAGATGAGTTAGAAAAGGATGGGTTTTTTAAAAGACTTTTAAGTAGTAGTAGAGATGAAGATTCTAGAAAGTCTATCGAGAAAGATGAAGAAGGCTCGGAAAAGAATGGGTTTTTTCGGAGGCTTTTGAGTACTAGTAAGGATGATGAGGATACCACCAGCTCTGATGGATTTTTTAAACGTTTATTTCGTGACAGCAAAAATGATGTGGATGACCAACCCATCTCAAAAGCTTTTGAGGATGATGAAAATGAAGGGTTTTTCCGGAAATTTTTTAAGGAGAGACCTGAGGACAGAAAGGATGGGAGTGAGAAAAACGAAAGTGGGGAAAAAGCGAAAAAGATTTTAGAAGATGGTGATAAAGAAGGTTTCTTCAAAAAAATCTTCAAAGAGAAAGTTGAGGACAAGAAAGATTTGAATGGCAAGATTAATGAGTGTGGAAGAGACCATGTAAATGCAGAGGAGGAAGATCCTTCAGAGTTTTCATTGTTTCGTCGTTTGTTTCGTGTGCATCCTGAGGATTCCCAAGTGTCAACAGCTATTGAAAATAGTATCAATGGTAATTTTCATGAGAGCAGTCCCGGAACTGAGAACTTTTTTCGTAAGCTGTTCAAAGACCGTGAACGTTCAGTAGAAGATTCAGAGCTCTTTGCTTCAAAGAAGAACAGAGAGGTTGGCAAAGTCTTATCTCTTCAAAATTTCGTATGTAGGTTCTGCTTTTTTGCCTTTGAGCTCAGAGATGGGATCCAGCTATCAGTATTCTTAGACTTTGCTTGCTCAATTATTATATGGACTTATTATTAAACTTTAGGAGCTTATGTTTAACTGTTCATGAGTTTTGCCTTATAGGTATATGATGAAATTGTTTACTTTGGTAATAGTGAACTTCATGTTTTGATAATTAGATAAGTCCATATGATGAAATGGAATTCTTGAACTTTGAACAATTTTGTGTTAATTTGTTTGTCAAAACATGAAACCTTGAATAAGAGGTATTGCACAGGATTCTTGCACTTCACACCTTTTCCCCCTGTGCTCATAAGTGATTTTACTACCATGTATCTAGTTCGTGTTCTCCTATACTCCTTTTCATCTCTTCTGATTTTGTGACAACTCTCAATCATCTACTCCATGTTTTAGTTTTCTGTTTTGTAGTATGACACTATGACTATGACCCAGATCCTTTGTGAAGGATAAAGAATAAGAATTGGCACTTCTTTTCTCTGGACTTGTTACTGAACTGACATTATGTCCAGTAACTTCATTTTGGTTACTAGCCTACTAGGTTATGGCAAACAGTATCATGTTGACGTGTGGATGTATTGTCTGCTAGCTAATCCCCTGAAAACAGGGACCGTGGTTCTCTCAGTCTCCTCGTCAGATTATATTGCTTGCTTGCATATTATAAGTTAGTACTTATGACATATAATCTTTCGCTGTGCATCCCTTAGAGTTGTAACCATATCTTCTTTGCATGTGCATTAACAATCCTTATTGGTTGAAAAAGGAGTAATTTTCTTTTTTAATTAAGAGCATGAATGAGCGAATACATAGTACTACTTGTTCTCTTTAATCACACACAAGGAATTAATTTTTTAAGACCAAGAGATGAATATTAGCTAATCTTATTCACATTGATCACATGTGTTTCTGTGTGCGTGTATGATATTATGATGTGTGATTGTGTGTAGTTTTATAACCTTGTTATAAGCTATATGAATGCAGAATGCCAATCATTAACCTTTTTGAACGATAGTTAATCAATAACAGTGTTTTTCATCTATGGTGATGTCAATCTACATGTGTTTTATTTATTAAACTTGCTATCTCATGATCTCATCTTTAACTAGCAATAGCAAAGTAGTTTGATGAAGTGTTCCATTTAGCCTTTTACCTCCGGATGTTTATTTTGGTACATCTTCTATTTTCTTGTGTATGTTTGCATGAGGCATTGGTTGATAAAGTATAATATATGTGTGATTGTTTAATTTGGTAGAATCGTCCTGGCTCACCAAAGCATCATGATAAACCAACTTCTAAACCTCCACTTCCAAACAATGGTGTCTCACAAATAAGGAAAGGGGCATACCATGAATCCCTTGATTTTGTTCAATCATTATGCGACACTTCTTATGGCTTGGTAGATGTTTTTCCCATTGAAGATCGCAAAAGTGCTCTCCATGAGGTGGTTCTACTAATACACTTACTCACTTTCTTGCAAATGTACTTTTAAAAACATAATCACTAACCAAATTCGTTGCACTTGCAATTCTAGTCCCTTACTGAAATCAATGCCCATGTAGCTGCTGCTCAAAATAGTGGTGGTATGAATTCTTATCTTTCTAGTTCTGCGTTTTCATCTATTTTTCCTTTAACACTTGTTTAAATCCGAACGAGTGCAAATGCATCAAAATTTAAATTGACTAATTTCCCTCTCTTTCTTTTTGCTACATATTGTATTTTTTATAATGTGGGTGCCTTGTGCAATATGATTTAGGATTTTAGGTTACTTATGGAGTACATTTTATTAAGTTGATTGTTCATAACTTGATATTGAACTCATGTTGGTAGCCTCTTCATTCCCCTGTAATATTTGTTGCCATTATTTTAGGTTTCTTTTTCTTTCTAAATTCTAATACACTTTCTTTCTTTTTGAAATTAAATTTGTAAATCCAAATTCACGATTCATTAAAGTCATAATAAACTCAAAAACTGATTAGGATAACAATAAAAACTGTTAAAGATATAAAAGAAGAAAGGGTTGGCATAACTAATTTGTGATATATGTATCTTACAAAATGAATTAGAGGGAGAATTTGCCAGAACAATTAGTCTAAACCATCACCATGCACAATTTTGGATGTATTCTCTATTTCTCTCATTCTAGTTTTTTCTCTGGTCCTGTTGCAGGCGTATGTTTTCCGATGGGAAAAGGAATGTATCGTGTTGTTCATATACCTGAAGATGAAGCTGTTCTATTGAATTCTAGGGAAAAAGCTCCTTATTTAATTTGTGTCGAAGTTTTGAAGTGTGAAACTCCTAGGTAAGAATAAGAAACACTAAAGAGCATGGAAAGTAAGCATGCATACTTTGTTAATTATAGCAGTAGGCTCTGTTTGTGTGCATTTCAATTTGAACATCGTTTTTAATTTTTGTGCGATTAGCAGTCTGAAGGATGCTCCACACATGCAAAATCTTTCGAAGGGAGGAATTCCTCTGGCAAATGGAGATGTTCTATTACCAAAGCCACCGCCTTGGGCATGCCCTCAGTGGACGGGACATGATACGTACCACAGTGCTCACGATAGGATGTCAAGATCCACTTCCCAAGCAATAGACCAAGCAATGACTCAATTATGGGAAGCTAAAGTGAAATTTGTTCGTGTAAATCTTTCTGTAGAGACACAATCAGACTCTATGCCTGAATTTTGTAGCCAAAACAAAGAGGTTGGAGCATATCCATCAAATTTAATGGATGGTTGTGGTTTGGAACGGGTGAGGGTTACTTTGACATCAGAGGCTGGTGTTAGTATGGATGATATAGTGGATCAGGAACCAACACGTCGAAAAGAGCACCGCCGTGTTCCAAGTACTGTAGCTATTGAGGAAGTTAAGGTAATCTTGTGATCATCCTTTCTTGCTTTTGTTTTCCAAAGTTCCCCTGAATCATTTATCAACATTTACTAAAGGCTATTAAATGCTGGGACTGAATCTTGTTAAACAGATCTGTTTAGTACTAAATTCTTTTTTAAACTTAGATTGATTGTGCCTTAATCAAAATTGATTAATTGCCTTTTCTCTTATCAATTATTCCTTCCGTTTCCTTTTAAGGGTTCAACTTTCTATTTAAGGAAGCTATTCTGTACTTGTTCCAATCCCTCTTTTTGGAGAATAAAGGCTTGGTAAATGGCATAAATGTCCATTACTTTTTCATGCTCTCTTCTACTTTTCTTACTTTTTCATGTTCACTTTCCTACTTCTCTCTCTCTCTCTCTCAATACTTTACAGTACTCCTATCATGTTTTCTGAAGAACCCTGTAAAAGCCTAACAAAACAATTTTATGAAAGTGGATGGAGTGTTAAGTTTTAGGGAAAACTGTCAAATAGGTCCTCGAACTTTCATAAAAAGGTCAATTAAGTCCTTCTATAGGAGGTTCTGTCCGGCCGTCGCGATTTGGGGCAGTTCCCGGTAGAATTTTTTGATGAAATTTTTTGGGCATATTATTCACCAAGTCTAGTTTACTCATACCAAATTTCAGCTAAAAATTCAATCAGGAACACATTCAAATTAATTCATGAAGATAACTGCGCATTTTTGCATTCAAGAATTAATTGGAATGTGTTCCCGAATGAATTTTTAGCTGAAATTTGGTATGAGTAAACTAGACTTGGTGAATAAGATGCTCAAAAAAATTCATCAAAAAATTCCACCGGGAACTGCCCCAAATCGCGACGGCCGGACAGAACCTCCTATTGAAGGACTTAATTGACCTTTTTATGAAAGTTCGAGGACCTATTTGACAGTTTTCCCTAAGTTTTATTACTTGATTTCATTTAGAGATCTTACCTTGCTGCTAGTCACTAGTCTGAACAGTTAGTTATTCATTTACTGATTGTTCAAATTGATAACCAGAGGATGCTCAAGTGAGAATATAACGACTAGTATCAACTTCCTCTTGTTTTAGTATTTGGTCACTATTAGCTACTCTGGAAGAAGGTGAGGACTATTATGTAGGTATTGCATTATGATGGCTACTTGGTGTTTGTGTATTTTGAATAATAGAATAAATTATGGAGCAGATTTCCTGGTAGAAATTGATGGACTAACTGCAATGAGATCAAGTTGTGAGTGACTATGCTTTTGATGTTTTGGCATGGCCTTAGGAGTACTGGAGTACAATCAACAATGGCACTTCAATTGTAGCTTTTGCTGCAAATGAAATATCTGTGTTTAGGGGAATATTCATGTGCTGTAGTGTGCAATGTGTTAAAAAATGTGACATATTATTGTATTTTTTTTTTTTTATTCTATGTACATCCGTTGTTGTATAGATTAGAATTAGAGCTGATAGATAGCTTTAATTAGTAGATAAGAACGCAGATAGATAGATCCTATTTTTTAGGATCTGAAACAGAATAGTTGTTATCTATACTCTGTATAAATACTTCAGCCGCATGGCTCAATAATATTCAAGGAAGATTAATTCCTCAAACTTACATGGTATCAGAGCCTCGGTTTAAAGAAAACAATGGTAGAAACCAGTGATTCTGATTCCTCACACACTACCAACCCTAACTCCCAAATTAGCTCCATGACAAATTACCAGTCCCCTATTCATTCATCTATGATAATCACTAGTCATAGATTGAATGGAACAAACTATCTGGAATGGTCTCAATCTGTCAGGCTCGCAATTGATGGGAGGGGGAAACTGGGCTACCTCACAGGAGAAATCAAACCTAAATTACCTGGAGAGGAAGGATACAACACATGGAGGTCAGAGAATTCACTCATAACAGCTTGGCTTCTCAGCTCCATTGAGACCCTAATTGCCAGACCTCATATGTTTATGAAAACTGCAAAAGAGGTATGGGACTCTATTAAGGAAACATATTCAGATCTGGAGAACTCTTCTCAAATTTTTGAACTCAAAACCAAGTTGTGGCAGTCTAAACAAGGAAATAGGGATATCATTTCATACTACAATGAAATGGTATCTCTGTGGCAAGTATTAGACCAATGTTATGATAATGAAGAATGGGAAAGTGCTAAGGATTTAGCAAGACATAAGAAAAGAGAAGAGAATGATAGGGTCTATATGTTTTTAGCTGGAATTAATAGGGACCTAGATGAAGTAAAAGGCAGAATACTTGGAAAAAAACCTCTAGCTTCAATCAGAGAGGTTTTTTCTGAGATCAGGTTGGAAGATAGCAGAAGGAGGGTCATGAACAACACTCCAGTACCTAATGAGGAACCTGGGGACTCATCAGCTTTAGTGGCCAGAGGTGATGACAGAAAAAAACCTTGGTGTGATCACTGCAAGAAATTGTGGCACACCAGGGAAACATGCTGGAACTGGAAAGAAGAAATTTGAAAGGGCTCTACAAACTACTGTGACTGAGACTCAACAAGAGTCAGAGGTTGACTCTAAACAGCTGCCTTTCACAAAGGAACAGATAGACTACCTTCTTCAGTTTCTACCTACCCAGAAAATCTCCAACCAAGAAAACCCTTCTTGTTCTTTTGCCCAAAATGGTAATATTACATCATACTTTTGTTCTAAAAAACCAAAAAGTACCTGGGTCATTGACTCAGGTGCAACAGACCATATGACCTTCATTCCAAATTTTTTTTCTTCATATCAACCTTGTGCAGGAGATAAGAAAGTTAGAGTTGCAGATGGCTCTTTTTCAGCCATAGCAGGGATGGGAAATATTAAAGTTTCTTCATCCATTAACCTTTCTAAAGTCTTACATGTTCCAAAACTTTCCTGCAATCTTATCTCTATTAGCAAAATAACCAAAGATCTTCAGTGTTGTGTAAGATTTTATCCTTCTTATTGCCTTTTTCAGGATCTGGCATCGGGGAGGATGATTGGCAGTGCTAGAGAGGAGAATGGACTATATGTCTTTGATGAAGGAACTGAATTGAATAAACAAGATCCAGAAAAAACTTGTCTGCAAACTATTTCCTTTCCTTGTAATAACGAAGTGTATTTAATGCACTATAGGTTAGGTCATCCCAGTTTTTATTATTTAAAAAAATTGTTTCCTAAATTATTTCATAATAAGGATCCTTCATCATTTCATTGTGATATGTGTGCACTTGCCAAACATCATAAGAGTTCTTATATCCCTCATAGTTACAAACCAACTAGTCCTTTCACCCTTGTGCACAGTGATATATGGGGTGCATCTAGGGTTTCAACCTTGAAAGGAAAAAGATGGTTTGTAACTATTATTGATGATCACACACGAGTAACATGGGTTTTCTTAATTAAAGAAAAATCTGAGGTTGAAGATGTGTTCAAAAAATTTTACTCAATGGTCCAAACTCAGTTCAATACCAATATCAAAATGGTAAGAAGTGATAATGGTCTTGAGTATTTTTCTAAAAATTTAAACAATTTTTTTGCTGAAAAGGGGATTATTCATCAAAGTTCCTGCATAAATACACCTGCTCAGAATGGAATAGCTGAGAGGAAAAATAGACATTTGCTTGAAGTTACTCGTGCAATTATGTTCTCTACTGGGGTTCCAAAATATTTATGGGGAGAGGCTGTTTTGCATGCTACCTATTTAATCAATAGGATGCCTTCAAAAACTCTAGGATTTAAAACTCCTATTGATACACTTCAAAACTGTTTTCCTCAAACTAGACTTATTAACTCTCTTCCCATAAAGATTTTTGGCTGCACAGTTTTTGTTACAAATCCTGATAGAACTGCAAGCAAATTTGATCCTAGAGGCAAAAAATGTATTTTCTTAGGACTGTCTTCAACACAGAAAGGCTATAAATGTTTTGATCCTACAACAAAAAAGATGTTTATCACAATGAACACTAATTTTGTTGAAAATCAACCTTTTTTTAATAATACTCATCTTCAGGGGGAGAATTCTAGTGAAGATGGTAATACTGTTCAACATATTCATGAAAATCTTGAGTTTCTTGACATTAATCTAGATGCACATCATAACAGAATCTTAGATGCACTAGAAAATAGTCAAGAATCAGAAGAAAATGAAATAAATATTCCTGAAACAAGGGAAGGAGATGAGCAGCAGACAAGTAAATTCTGGGGCAAAGTTTATGAAAGGAGAGTTCCAAATCAAAGAATAGAGAACATCTCTGACCCTGCAACTGCTCATGAATCTGACTCAGTGTCAGAAAGTGACAAAGGTAATAACTCTAGTGATCTAAATCTACCAATTGCCCTCAGAAAAGAGAGAAGGTCATGTGTTAAATACCCCATCTCAAACTATGTGTCTAATTCTCAATTATCAACATCATTTGCAGCCTTTACCTCTAGTCTTTCCTCTATTTCTATTCCCTTAACTATCCATGAAGCTCTATCTAAACCTGAGTGGAAGAAGGCTGTTTTGGAGGAAATTGATGCTCTTGAAAAGAATCAGACATAGCAGGTTGTAGAATTACCCAAGAACAAACCAACAGTGGGATGCAAATGGGTATTTACTCCCAAATTCAAGGCAGATGGAACACTTGAAAGATATAAGGCCAGATTAGTAGCCAAAGGATATACACAGACCTATGGAATAGATTATACTGAAACTTTTGCTCCAGTTGCAAAGTTAAATACTATAAGAATTCTTCTATCCTTGGCTGCTAACCTAGACTGGCCACTTCAACAGTTAGATGTAAAGAATGCCTTCTTAAATGGGAAACTTGAAGAGGAAGTATACATGAGCCCTCCTCCTGGGTTTGAGGGTCAGTATGGCTCAAAGGTGTGCAAGTTGGAAAAGGCCTTGTATGGACTTAAACAGTCCCCAAGGGCTTGGTTTGACAGGTTTACTCAATTTATAAAGAGACAGGGATTCAAACAAGCTCAAGCAGATCATACTCTCTTTATGAAGTTTTCAAGTAAGGGGGAGATTGCAATATTAATTGTTTATGTTGATGATATCATTCTTACAGGAAACTTCTATAAAGAGATAGAAGACTTGAAGAAAAAGATGGGCCAGGAATTTGAGATTAAAGACTTGGGAGAATTGAAGTACTTTCTTGGCATGGAGATAGCCAGATCAAAGAAGGGGATTGTAGTGTCCCAGAGGAAGTATGTACTGGATCTTCTTCATGAAACTGGTATGAGTGCTTGCAGACCAATAGATACTCCGATTGATCCTAATCAAAAGTTAGGAGATGTCAAAGAAGGAGTTCCAGTTAATGTTCAACAATACCAAAGATTAGTGGGAAGATTGATCTATCTGGCACACACGAGGCCAGATATTGCCTTTGCAGTTAGTATGGTGAGTCAATTTATGCATAATCCATTCCAGGAACATCTTGATGCTACCTACAGAATCTTAAGATATTTGAAAAGCTGTCCAGGGAAAGGATTATTTTTTAGAAAGGGCAACAATAGAAGTGTTGAAGCTTTTACAGATGCAGACTATGCTGGCTCAGTTACTGACAGAAGGTCAACATCTGGGTATTGTACTTATGTTTGGGGGAATCTGGTGACCTGGAGGAGTAAGAAGCAGAATGTAGTTGCTAGAAGTAGTGCAGAATCTGAATTTAGATCTATGGCTAATGGAATCTGTGAACTACTTTGGATCAAAAGGGTAATTTCAGAATTGAATATGGAGATGGAACTACCTATGAAGTTATACTGTGATAATAAGGCAGCTATCAATATTGCTCACAATCCTGTGTTACATGATCGTACTAAGCATATTGAGGTAGACAGACACTTCATCAAAGAGAAGATTGAAGCTGGGATTGTGTGTACTCCATTCATATCAACCAAGGAACAAACTGCTGACATTCTAACAAAGGGACTGTTCAAACCAGCATTTGAACTACTTATAAGCAAGTTGGGAATGTATGATATATACTTACCAACTTGAGGGGGAGTGTTAAAAAATGTGACATATTATTGTATTTTTTTTTTATTCTATGTACATCCGTTGTTGTATAGATTAGAATTAGAGCTGATAGATAGCTTTAATTAGTAGATAAGAACGCAGATAGATAGATCCTATTTTTTAGGATCTGAAACAGAATAGTTGTTATCTATACTCTGTATAAATACTTCAGCCGCATGGCTCAATAATATTCAAGGAAGATTAATTCCTCAAACTTACACAATGCAAATGAAATTGTAGGGGCATATTCATGTGCTGTAGAGCGTGCTTCTGTTGACTAAGCGTGACATATAACTATTCTGGGGTCTAGTTGCTCTAAAGCTATTCTGGGGTCTAGTTGCTTTAGATATATAAGTATGTATAACTAAGTGTGATATTAAGGAGGTGTTTGCTATTGATTGTGCTTCTGAAAATTGATTTATAGAGAAACTGTTTGATAGTAAAAGGTGGTAGTGTTTTAAATTGGATGTGGTTTGATTTTAAAAGTAAAAGTTTGGTGAAAAATTGATTTGTGATGTAATATTGAGTGAAACTGTGAAAGTCAGAAGGTACAAAAATGTCCATTTTTGGCATAACCTGTCCTGTCTTGTCATGAAGGATATTTTTTGCAGATATGTTTAGGGCTAAAAGTTCAAGTTAGCCACAGAAAAACTGAATAGCATTTAGAAGAAACTTTAAAGCACCCCCACCCTTGCTTTTAGCTTTTAGCTTTGAAGTACTTAAGTGTAAATGGAAGAACCTGTTTGAAACCCTACTTAATGTTTATTAAGAAAAAAGCTGAAAAGGAATTCTTCAAGCCATCACAAGCACTGCCCAGTAACTCTTTTTTTTTTTTTTGCGAACTTTCAATTTTAATTACTACATACGGAATATTTTATTTGCTTTCCATGTTTCTTAAGAATATGTGGCTATTGTTAGTTCACAAATTTCATTCTGATTTCGTTTCCATGTGAAGAAATTTGAGCATGTTTCCTGTGACAGGCAGCTGCATTAAAAGGAGAAGCACCTCCTGGACTCCCTTTGAAAGGGGCTGGTCAGGATTCTGACGCACAGCCAAAGGTGAATACTTGCTACTATGTCTTTTCAGAAGGTGAATAAAAGTTTGCCACTTTTGATCCCCCGACTATTGTGTCAGTGACACTGTTGGTACTCAACTTTTAATTTTTCCATTCTAATCCTCGACTATTGTGTCAGAGACACTTTTAGTCCTCGACTTCCAAGTTTCCCACATTTAGTCCCCTGAGTATTATTAAATTGACACTTTTAGTCCTTCCACTATGATTTTAACACAATAAGTGGATGACTAAAAATGTCAGTATTATAGTAGTTGAAAGTCGAAGGACTAAATATGGAAATTTTCAAAGACGGGTCCCAAACGTGTCTTTCGCACAATATTTGAAGGACTAAAGTGGGAAAATGCAAAGTCGAGGACCAAAAGTGTCAGTGACATAATAGTCAGAGGATTAAAAGTGGCAAAAACTCGTGAATAAAATTTATTGGAGTATAGTAGATAATGAGCTGGAAAAACAGGTTTCTAATGGCGGTCTTCCTAATCCATGTGATGCACTATCTGGTGAACTCTGGGAGGTAAAGAAAGAGAGAATACGCAAAGCCTCCATATATGGGAAACTACCTGGCTGGGACTTGCGATCTGTAAGTTATACTTCTTTAAGACCTTAAAGTCATACATTTTCTGAATCATGTGGTGCTTTATGCGTCTCTGCTCATTCAATATTTTCGTTATGCTAAAGTGGCACCTCACTCATCCAATAGGGCCTTAGTAATTTTCTCAAAACATTACATGAAATCTATAGAATGAAAGTTGTTGCTGTCCTAATTCCCTAGAATGAAATAAAAAATTAAGGAATAAAGAAAAAGATTCATTATGCTTGGCAGTATAGAAAACAACATTCAGACTATCAAGTTAACATCATAAATTACTTCAGATTGGCAGAGCAACTTATACACCACTCAAACATCTACATTACAAGTTCTGAATAGTTCATTTTCTTTTATTAACCACTCATGAATGAATTGTTAAAGTAGTCACTATTGGCGCAAATTTGAATATAAAAGTTTGTGATTTGTAACTTCCAAGATACCAACATATTAATTGGTCATGACTGGATTTGGGTTTGTCAATAGAAGTCCAATGTGTGGATGCATAAAAGAAGTGGTCACTATATTAGTTCGGTTTCACTCCCTGTGTCCCAACGGGACAGTTGCATGAGTGCAGTTTACTCCTTTGACCTGGAAAAGTTTTGGTCCTTTTTGTGAAAGCTTGAGAACGCTGTCTCTGTCATTTTCATTTTCTCTTGGTATAGTTAGTCTTATGTTTCTGTCACTTGACCCGCAATTTAATTTTTGGGAAAGCAACAAACACAGTCCTATGTTTCTTTAGTTTTAGTTTGGCTTGATTTATGTCTGCTGGTCTTTCATGTAGTTATGGTTAATGCATTGATGTCTTATCTTGTTAATGGGTGGATTAGAAATGCATTTACCTGAGAAGAATGATCTTTGAAGTCAAAAGTTAAATTTGTGTCATGCAATTTGTGCGTCAGATTTAGTACTTCAATACTTATAGTCATTGACTCATTGTTGTGTTAATGAGGGGGAACAGTGCTTTTAAAAATCTAAGAGGTATAAACTTCCTGGAATACACTTCTTAGAAGATGGTGATATAGATATATTATCACAACCAATATTATATTTATTAGGTTTTGTGGTGATAGCTAGAGGATGGTGGTGCAATTGCAGGCAGAAACAATTTTTCAATATGATTGCTTTATGATAACTATGACTGAATTTTAATTAATCTTCAAGAGTGCAAGACCTAGTATCACAAAAAATTTACCTTGATGATAAATCTGATAATACAGCTATTGTTTATGTTCTTTATCTTTGAAGGGTGAATAGTTTGTTCCTGGTGTATTACCTTTTTTGAGTGATTTCTGAAGGAAACTCTTGAAAATATTACACATTGTTCTTGTGATGTATTTGTTGATTCCATGGTGACTTGAGAGTCTATAAAGGTTTAAGGTTAATAGTTAGTCTTTTGGCAACCTTTTGTCACTTTGTTGTAGTGATGCCCTGATAGCTAAGCTGGAGTAAGTTAAGCTACATGCTTTACTTCTAGCTGTATTAGGTTTTTTTCTTACGTTTTCCTGGTTTGACCTCTTCCGTAGTTCAGTCATATTAAATTAAGATGCCTTATTTTATGAAGCTAGCAGGTAACATTACCCCTTTTGTTTTGAAATAGGCCATTGTAAAGAGTGGTGATGACTGTAGACAGGAACATCTTGCTGTTCAACTCATTTCCCACTTTTATGGTAGGCAACTCTTGATCCTTGTTGTATTTTGAGAGTATTTTGCCGTCTTTCTTAATATTAATCAACCGGTTTCCTATTTTTTGCTAAACATTACTTTTCAATAGGTTGCTTTATCATCTACCTTCTCTATTTATGGTGCTTTCTGAACTTAAGTATCCATAACAATTGAGGAATGCCAGCATTTTTGCTCCAGGATAGCATAATCCACTCTCAGATGATTATAATTTACAATCTATTTCAACTTGCACACAAATTATAGGATCAAATTAGCTAAAAAGTTTTTAACAGGCCCTTAATCAATACCCTTTATCTAAGATGTTAAGATTTGCAGAATTTGATCCTTTATGACACAAATGTAATTAGTAATACACTAATACAGTAATGCCCTCTAGCAATAAAAAGTTCTAATGTAAACATTCTGGGACTTCGGTTGCGGTCATTTATATCAGCATGACAGTGAATTATGAGAAGCTTCCTTCTTTTAATGTACAATCATAATGTTTGTAGTAAAACATATGTTTAAGTCTCTACCCCAGTTTGTTTCCCAGCCCTAACAATATGTTAGAGTTTTGTTATACTGCTGGCATGACTTCTGTCTTATTGTTTCCATTATTTATTTACGTGTTCATGTACATGATACAATTTTTACCTCAAAATTTGAAACTCTTTAGTTTTTAAGTTTTATAACAAAAAAGTATGACATTACCTAGATCAAAGCTAATGTGGTACTTTGAGAGGTCTAAGAATGTTTTTTGTTGGCTTGTTCTTCTTCATTTTAAAAGGTTGATCTGGTATGAGTGTACATCATTTGGTACTATTTCCTTTATTAGAATTCAGAACACTGTTGATCGATCATTGTTTACGTATTTTTGAAATTTACAATTGTCAGATATATTCCAGGAAGCTGGTCTTCCCCTCTGGTTGCGGCCATATGAAGTCCTTGTTACATCATCATACACAGCACTAATTGAAACTATTCCAGATACGGTAATTGGCTCATTGCTTTTATTTTTGTTATTGCTGCTTGTCTTTAAATGAGTATATAATGCTTTATGAATCTGTTTTGCATGTCGTGGGATGATGGTGCATGAACATTTCTGCAGGCCTCTCTTCATTCTATCAAAAGTAGATTTTCTAGTATATCAAGTCTACGAGACTTTTTTGTTGCCAAGTATCAAGAAAATTCTCCGGCTTTTAAGCTTTCTCAGGTAATGGATCTTAAGTTGGCATTGATATCCAATTCCAACATGTTTTTTTCCTCATCAGGCTCTTTACCAATAAATAAGTCTGGTTTTTAATGATTTAAAAGTACATGTAGGAATGAGAAGTTATAGAGCATTAGTTCTTTCCAGCTTTTGATACTCCTTGAAAACAATCTTTCTTGGCGGGGGCGATAAACAAACACGGACACATCTAATTGCGAGTGAGTGAGATATATATATATATATATATATATATATATAGAGAGAGAGAGAGAGAGAGAGAGAGAGAGAGACTTCGGGAACCTAGATGCAAGTTCTATTATTTTGAAGTATGTCTAGTTTCGAGTTTTCGGCCATCAGCAGCAATTTTAAATTAGGAAACTCAATTTTACCTCCATAATGTTTCAAAATTTACTCTCTTAAATGCAGGAATCCAAAGAACATAACCTTCATGAACTCTTTTGAATGGTTTGGTTTCCAAAATAAAAATGGCCTGTAATTCAAAGCAGCAAGACTGTAAAGATGAGTGTTTCTAGACAATCTAAAAAGACTCATTTTACATATTAGAAACTACTGTAGTCTAGGATAAGTCCATTGGCCATTTAAGCGTTCCTTTCTTCTTAGTAAAATTCCTAAATGCTACAGGTAATATTTGACTATTCGTTTTTTTTTTGCCAGAAGGCATATAACTGTTTTATTTTCTATTTTTTCCTACTACAGAAAAAAGTGAGTCCCCATCTCTGAATGTGATCTTTTGCATTTATGTGTTTCAATCTCATGCAGAGAAACTTTGTCGAAAGCATGGCTGGATATTCGCTGGTTTGCTACCTTCTGCAGGTGAGATCATGTCCACTCTCTCTTTCTCTCTCTCTCTAGTATCCAACAAATAACACTACTTCCTCAATGTGGTGTGTTAATAAGTGAATAGATAAATCTTGATCTAAGTATTGATTGTTTATCTCTTGGCTACTTTTAATCTTTTATTTGCAGTGTTTTTTGGAAGGGATTAATTATTTAAGTTTACATGAGCAGTGTCTAATAGGTGTTGCATTACCATCTACCAAGTACTAACATTATTGTTTTTGAGTAGGTAAAAGATAGACATAACGGGAATCTCTTGTTGGATGAGGAGGGTCACATCATACACATTGATTTTGGGTTTATGCTATCCAATTCTCCTGGAGGTGTAAATTTCGAAAGCGCACCATTTAAGTTAACTCGTGAACTTCTTGAGGTTGGCCGTTATATTGTAGAGCTGGAATTTCTGTATGATTTTCTGGCATTTGATTCTAGTAGTGCTTGAATGATGTATTCCATGAATGTACACACAGGTCATGGATTCCGATGCTGAGGGAGTCCCAAGTGAGTTCTTTGATTATTTCAAGGTAATGTTTTTTTTCCATTTCGTGTGCTCTGGTTTCAAATTAGTAATTACCATCATTTAACTACACTTTCATAATTGGCTTATCTGTTTCACACAGGTTCTATGTATCCAAGGTTTTCTGACATGCCGTAAACATGCTGAGCGCATCATTCTTCTCGTCGAGATGTTGCAGGTAATTCCAAGGAAGGATTCCTTTGGCACTTACTTTCCATTGTGACTTGTTTGGGATGCTAGGGGTCATATTACATTGCTAGTATTCAGAGCCCATGTGTTGATGCACCATAGTTCTGCTATGTTGTGGATGTATCAGGGGAATTCATTAATAACACTTTTCAGGACTAATGATTTTATTTAACAGATCGTCCATTATAAGGGAGGGATATTTGATGATAACCGTTTATTAATGACAACATGGACTTCAATTTATTTAAGGATAGAATGATCGATAAAAGTAGCTAGTTCTAAATTGTTTTTATGATGATGAGCTAGTGTATGATGCCTGGGTAGCATGCCCTCTTTCACCGGTTGCATGTTGTAATGGCCAACACATAGGATACACCCCCAAAGGGATTTTGGGAAGCGCTCTATGATGGTAGCGTTTTTTTGTCTGATGAGTTGGACTTTGTATCCTTAATGTTTTGTCTGATGAGTCACGAGTTGAACTTTGTATCCTTGATATAGTTTGATCATTTACAACTTCAGATAATAACATGAACGTAAACGAGTTTCATGTCCTAAACAATCAAACATGACACATAAAATGTAGTCTATGATTCAAGGAGTAGTTCAACCAAGAGATTATTTCTGAACTTTTTCTCTTTACTGTTCTGACGCTACTATTTGTTTGCATATGATAGGATTCTGGATTTCCTTGTTTTAAAGGGGGTCCAAGAACGATACAGAACTTAAGGAAAAGATTCCATCTTAGTTTAACAGAAGAGGTTTGGTTTGATTTCTGTGCTCTCGAACATATTGATCCTTTTTTTTTCTGCTCACAATTGATTTTTATTGGTGTGGTTCTTCAGCAATGTGTATCCTTGGTGCTCTCTTTGATTAGTAGTAGCTTGGATGCATGGAGGACTCGTCAGTATGATTATTACCAGAGAGTCCTAAATGGGATATTATAAGGTCAAACTTGAGAATAGCCATTTTTAGCTGATTTTGAGACACGGGTGGGTTGAGGACTATCAGCATGTATGATGTTGAGAATTTGCGTGGGAACTCAAATTGTGAATCTCAGGGGATATGGTCTTGTTCTGGTAAAAGATGCTCACATCGGTCATAGCCATCCAGATAAAAGACAGTTCCTTATTTGGTATTTGAAGATTCAATTCATTTGCAACCTGATTCGGGTTGATACTGTACAGAGATAATGCTATAAAGGCAAATTGGAAAGGCAACAAGCCAACAACGCAATTGTCGGGATCGCGCTGATTGAGTTGTGATTTTTGTATACCTTCTAGCATGGTGAAGAACTCACTTTGTACTTTTTCTTTATTCCCTGATTGGGGACCAGTTTCTTCTTTTCTTCACTTGTGCTAAAGGTCCAAGCAGCATAGGAATACATCATGTAATTTATGGTTTAAAATTCTTATGACACATCCTCAAGCTGGAGTTCTCTTTGTTGTGATTTTGAGAAACGCTTGAAGTAACATATTTGTCGTGTGTATAATATTCTTTTTTTATTTTCATTTCACTTGTCACTATGAATGCGCTTTTGTATGATTGAAAATTACCCATTTCCATGTGTACATTCTTGGTCTAAACATGATTCTTATAAAGTTTGTAATAAACATCCACATTGGAGCTGCCTACCCGGGCCGGTTCCGGTTCTCCCTTCCCAGAGAAAAAGCTCGGCCGGGCCCAGGCCTGAACTGGAACCGGCCCGGCCCGGCCCGGGTACATCTAGGGATGGACCCGGGTCGGACCGGTTCCGGGCTGGGCCCGGACGGGCTTTTTTTTTACAAACATGGGCCCGGAACCGGCCCGGGGTGATACCGGGTCCGGTCCTGGTCGGGCCTACCCGGCCGGGTAGGGGGCCGGTTCGGGCCGGGCCCAGGCTATTTTTTTTTTTGTTTAAATTAAGATGTAGTACAATTGGACAAGTCAAAGTTAAAATATATTTATTTGAAATATGTAGTACAATTGAAAATTGAGCAAAAATTAAAACATGAAATACACTTTATAATAAATAAGAATCAATCGGAATTTCCGCCATCTTCGGTTGTATCTTCCATAAAGTGGCGGGTGGGTTCAATGCTAACTTTTTGGAAACAAACAAGCGTCTCAAGAGAGTTTGCGCTCAATCTCGTTCTATAATCCGTTAGGACGTTGCCGGAGAAATTTATAATTCGTTATAAATTTGAGAAGATGAAGATGGAGAAGATTAGTAGAGAATAGAGATTAGAGAGTAAGAATATTTGGAGAAGATGTGTAGTAAGTTGTATAGAAAAAATGGAGTATTTATAGATTTTTAGTACCCCCACCCCCAACTAGGCATGGACTCGGTTCGGGCCGGGCCCGGTTTGGGCCTTGAACCGGCCGGGCCTCGGTTCACGGGTAGGGAGGCCCGGAACCGGCCCGGGTAACCCCGGGTCCGGTTCGGGCCGGGTGGCCCGCCCGGTTCACGGGCCGGGCCCGGTTCGGGTCGGTCCTTTTCATTTTTTTTTTATATTCTATACTATATAATTATAATAATTGTTATGAAAAACAAAATTCAAGTGCATTTATTTGAAATAGGAAGTACATTTGAGAATTGAGGAAAAAATAACAATATGAAATACATTTTCGAATAAATATCAATTGGGATTTCCGCCACCGTTGGTTGTTGTTTTACCTTTGTCACATGACTTCATATGTTTCATTGGCATCCCGACTCCGTGTGAACGCCCCAAGCAACACTCTTTCTTGCACCACTTGCAAGTTGCCCACCACAGTCCGGTCTTCGGATCCTTCCACTTGTCAAAGTTGTTTTGCATAACAGAAGAATTACTTTCCATCTTTAAAATGGTAGATGTATAAGTAGAAATGTAGGATAATAAGAGAAGATGAAGATGGAGAAGAGTTGGAGAAGAGGTGTAGAAAATGGTAGAAAATAGATGTATTTATAGATTTTTTTGAACCCCACCCCCACCCCACCACCCCCGCGACCCCCCCCACCCCCCACCCTAAGCCCCAACGGCTATATAGCCGTTTGGGAGCAATCTCCCACTTCAAAATGTTTTAATTTTCTTTTTTTGAAAATTATACATATTGTGTATAATTTACTTAGAAAAGTGATTTGATTTAGAAAAGTGTAAGGAAAGTGATATGATTTAGAAAATTATACATATTGTGTAAGGAAAATGTTTTTAATTTTTTAATTAAGTAAAACTATTTTTACTTAGAAAAGTGATTTGATTTATAATTTACAAATGTTACAAAATAGGTGTATAAGTTGTAACTTGTAAGTTTGTAACAAATTAATTAATTTACATATTAATATTACATATTTTAATTTAAAAACAGCCTTTACATTTTACAAAAATAATTTCAAGTTGTAAGTTATAAGTTTGTAAAATTGTAACCAATTAATTAATTTGAGAAGTGCTACATATGAAGTACAAGTTTACAAATGAATTTTATTGAATTGAATTATTGAATTGATGTACACAATAATATAAAATAATTCAAGTATATTTATTTCAAATAAGAAGTACAATTGAGAATTAGGATGCATTTAAAATATGTAATACATTTTGAAATAAAAAATCAATCGGAATCTCCGCCTTCGGTGGTTGTTTCCTCCATAAAGTGGCGGGTGGGAGCGATGGTCATTTCTTGAGTTCTTCGTTTGGCCTTCAACCAATCATGGAAGCAAACTAGCGTCTCAAGAGAGCTCGGGCTCAACCTCGTTCTATAATCAGTTAGGACGTTGCCGGCCGCACTAAATTCTTGTTCCACGACAACTGTTGATATCGGCATTGCTAGCACTTGCTTAGCCAGTTTTGATAAAACCGGGAACGTTCTTTCATTGTCCTTCCACCACTTAAGAACGTCAAAATCATCCCCAACTTCATAATCAACATTCAATGTTAGATAGATAGAAAGCTCGTTAACTGAGCTTTGTTCAGTAGCGGGAGTTGCTCTACTTTTTTTCATAAGAGAACCAAATGCAGATTTTAAAAGTGATTTTCCTTTAGATGAAGAAGATGTTCGCGGCATGGGAGGGGGTGCATTACCATATTGTGCATAAAATTCATTATACAATTGATGAAATAAATTACTAACCTCGTTGTATTCTTGTTTAGGGTCGATGGGATTATCATCGAACTCTTGAGTTGGAAAAAAACAATTATAATAGTAATCTATACAACTTGGCAACGCGGCAAGTCTATAACGAGGATCAAGAACAAATGCAATACCATATATATGCGGAACATGTGAATAATATTTTAAAAATTTTTGTTTCATGAAATCACAAAAATAACTAACGTAAGCGGCATCGGAAAATTCTAAAAATGCGCCGGCGAGATTAACAGCTTCAACAAAAAATTCGTTTGCGGTAGGTTTATAAACATGACTAAAAGTTTGAGTTGCGTTATTAAAATATACCAAAACATTAACAATTTTTTCACAAGTGTCGATGTCAGCCGGGTTTATAATATAGTTACAAGTTTGTCTTAAAAAAGCAGGAAAATGTTCTTTATATCTAATAAGTACTTGAATTAAGTTATAAGTACTATTCCAACGAATAGACAAATCTTTAGGAAAAGCACAATAATTGACACGTCTTTCCTTCAAATATTGTCGCCATTGCATTTTTAGTGGAGTGTTAGCCCAAATCAATTTAATTCCCCCCTTCACTACCTCCAAAGCATTTCCTAATGCCGCTAATCCATCTTGTACACACAAATTTAGAATATGACATGCACAACGTTGATGAAAAAACCTACCCATCAATGTAGAAGCACCACACAATTCACGCAATCTAGGTATAGCAGCAGTGTTATTACTAGCATTATCAAAACCTACAGCAAACACCTTATCAAGCAAATTATACTCAATTAAAATACGCTCAATGAGAATATAAATATTATCAGCAGTATGACGATCATTGAATTCACGAAAAGCAAGAACACGTTTATGCATATTCCAATCATCATCAATATAATGTGCAGTAAGACCCAAATAATATAAATGATGATAAGTATCCTCCCATATATCGCTACAAATACTAACACGTCCATTAAAGTTTGCGAAAAATGTTTGTAAATTTTCTTTTTCGAAGTTATATTGCCTTATAACTTCTTTTTTAATCGTTTTGCGACTATAATTTCTAAATTGAGGATTTAAAGTGCCTTGAGCATAATCTCTTAAAGCAAGACTTTCGGAAAAAATATAGGGTAAATTTTCTTCAACAATTAAATGAGACATACCAGTCAAATGTTTTTGATCATAATAGGAGAAATTACCAAAGGGTTGAGAATTTGCAAACCTCGATATTTGTGTTTGCTTCCCCTTGCCCTTGTCTATTTTCGCATACTCCACAAGATGGGCGGATTTAAGATGCCTTGTGAGACTCCCGTATCCGCCAGAAGTTCCCAAGCTATACTCTTTGCCGCAATGATTGCAACTTGCGTACCATTTTTCGGTATTTTTGTCTTTCCTTTTTGTAAAATTGTTTTCAATAATAGGAGATTTAGATTTCTTACCAGTTTCGGTTGAACCGCCCTCGTCCTCCAAGTCTTGCTCATCATCCGGGGTGCCGTGAGTCCCGTCGCCCCCCGCGTCCTCCTCCGCATCGTCATCCTCGAGCTCCTCTTCATCAATGGTTGTCGGGATGGGTTGTTCTTGTGCAAAGCGTGGATCGTTTTGGGACAATAGGTTTTGTAGATGCTCGTCGGACATCATCATATCATCTCTCCGTTGGTAATCCATTTCAAAATCATCTCGACTTTGAAAAGAAGACTCGGCCCGCGCTTTACCTTTGCCTTTGCGTGAATTAGGACGAGTCGACGCAATCTCCCTCTTGCGGTTGCGTTGGAGATTACCCACATCTACAGAATGTCTACCACGTTCCATCTTTAAAATTGAACAAATATTAAATGATATCAAATATTTTATATGAGTACAATAGTAATAATAAAATGTGACTAAGAAAACTATTGCGAATTCGAACTAAAATATGAGTATACAAATCGAACTACTTCTAATTAATACTTTAATGAGAAATGTATCAATTAACTAAATATTAACTAGTTTGACTAATATAAATATGAGAAATGTAAAAATTAACTAGTTTTTTTTTTACTTTAATGAGCAATGTACAAATCAACTAATATTAATATGAGAAATGTAACAATTAGGTAGTTTAACTAATATTAATATGACAATTTTAACAATTAACTACTTTAGGTAGTTTTTAAAATGACAAATGTAAAAATTTACTAGTTATTTTTACCTTAATGAGAAATGTATACTTTAACTAATATTAATATGACAAATGAAAAAATGTACTACTTTTTTTACTTTAATGAGAAATGTAGCAAGTAACTAATATTAATATGAAAAATGTACCAATTAAGTAGTTTAACTAATATTATTATGACAAATGTAAAACTTAACTAGTTTTTTTTTTTTACTTTAATGAGCAATGTATGAAATAACTAATTTTAATATGACAAATGAAACAATTAAGTACTTTAACTAATTGAAATATCACAAATGTAAAAATATACTACTTTAACTATGTTTTTCTTTAAAGAGAAA